ATAGGATTTGAAATCGGATTTTTTGGTCATCTAGTCTTTAGAAGTCTACAGATTAACAGATGAACCACCGGCCCGTTTTTAGTCCGCTATAATTACGAATAGCATCTTTAATGGAAAGGCACCCACGGATCAGATTACGGAACACTTTTTTGTGTGGAATATGCAGGTTTAAATATACTGATGTATACTGATGTATAAATAAATTTATAAGGCAATTAAAAAGCTGAACTTTGAAGACCCGTATATCAGCCAGAAAGCAAATAGGGAGAACTGAGGGACCTATATATGAGCTGGACCTCTCGCAGCTGTGTCAAGCAGCGGCAGAATACCGTCAAAACACGTGGCTGAGCCTTTAAGCTACTAACTGGACTGATAGTATGGTAAGTTAAAACATCAATCTAACGACGACTATTCAGCCCAAAAATAGTCATCCTAGCGCCCAATTTCTTTATCGGTATCCTTACCTCTGTATATGCGATTTTTCACTATGCGACTGCCTGTGAGGGCTTTAAATTAAACCCAATGGCAAACCGCTTTGAAAAGCAGGTATCGTAACGTGACATGTAGAGTTGGACAGCTACAAAACTACTTAGTTTGCGCACTGAAGTTTGTTTTCCCTTTAAAGAAAAGAAACTTAACTTTGAAAATGTTGACGAACAAGACTTGTCGAACTTGAAAACTAATCTTTTTGTTCCGAGTAAACCCATAGATTCAGGTCAGAAAAAACTGGTTATTTTTCGAAAACCAGCCGTTTTCTCCTCTTTTAAGTGTCTGAAATGCACATCTGTCTGATCTCATGTTCCTAAGTTCAGCAAAAACGACTAAAAGCAGTCAATTATTCAAAAATATGTTATTGCTACCCTGGCATTTGTGAATGCAGTACGCTAAAGTAGCTAATAGTTAATAGTCATTTTAAATATTGAACCTGTGAAAATTATTTTAAGTGGTTTAAATTATGCTTTTAAGTAATGCACAAACAGCACCAGCAAAACAGCAGCAGTTTTAGCACTATGTCAGGTTTGCTATAGCAACTCTTCTGCGCTTCATAATCTTAGGAATTTTGCAACGCATAACCGATCATAATAAAATTCACTATGGGTCACACTTCACATGCCAGTAATTATGGTTGGATATCTAATAAAAATATAGGTTAAAGTGAGTTGCTGAAAGATACGTTACCTATTTCGTTTTATTTACTTCGCAACTTGCATAGGCAATCAGCGTGTACTTCTAAGACTTAAATCTTGTTCTGCGACAGGCATTTTTTACCTTTTTGACATTTTTGTTTTCCTTAGTACAAGTGCTCGTTGTAACTCATCGAAATACTACTTGTAATAATTATTTGATGTTTTGATTTACTTGTAGAGCACTCATTATTCGTTTGAATTCGCACTGATTCCAGAGTTCTGAATAACTTCTCGTTAATGGAGGCCTACCTCCTGAAGTAGATCACGCCTTATTTCTCAAAATCTGCCTTTTTAAAAAATTGAAATATAAGATTGCAAGGCAGTTGGTAGTTTATTTTCAAAGCTGTGGCCACACTGGTCGTCCTCCTTAAGTGAGTGCCCTCTGCGGTTTCAGTTCACAAGGCCATTCTAACAGCTCAAAGTGCTCAGCAGCAGAAGACGCGATCGCTGGAACAAGAGGTTTATTTGCCCGACGTTTCGTATTCTGTCTTGAACCCTTCATCAGCAATAAACACAAAATAGGCGGATACGTGCACAGATTAGGGTGTTCAGGAAAGTGACCAACACTATGCAATTCCGAATTCCCGTTCAATCACCAACGCAGCTGTGTAGGAGCGCCATACCGGCGCATTGAGATGCATTGCGGTGAAATCGAAGATAAAGTCGCCGAATAAGAGTATCTTAGACGGGTACTGAGAGTGAATGGTTACCTACGCAATTTTGTCAACCAATACATACATAGACGAGACAAAAAAACAAATCCAACTGACCCTAAAGTTTGGTGAGCTCTAGAGAACCTGAGAAATGTATCGGAAGCAGTCAGCCACCTTCTTATTCCACTTGGATTTGGAGTTGGACATAGGCCAGAAGCAATCAGCAGGCGCCGGGTCATGAGACTGAAATATTCCGTGGCACGGCAGTAAACGGATGGAGTCGTTTACCGGATCTGGTGCAGTTGTGAACAAAGCAACTACGTCGGAGAAATCAAGAGATTACTCCGGACGTGAATGACCGAGCATGTAGCAACGGTGAGGAGGCAAGTCGCTAACTCCCAGGTTGCAGCTCACGCTAAGGGACCCGGTCATATTTTCAAGTTTAACGAGGCTGAACTCCTCGCAAGAGGTGACAGCCGGGTGAGCCGCGAGCTGCTCGAGTCATGGTTCTCAGGCCCACAGTCAATCAA